CCCGCGCAGGGAGGGCCGCCGAGCAGGCAGGGCCCTCGTGGGTCTGCTCCTGCTCCGGGAGGCCGCTGGGCTGCAGGCCGAGGGGCCGCCCCTGCCCGGGTGCCTGTCCCCGGCCTGTGCCGAGTCGCCCAGGCCAGACTTGCGGACTGGGAGGAGGCTTCTGGTGAACCGGCGCTGTCTGAAGCGGGAAAGAGCGGGCGTGAAGCTGGGCGAAAACTGGTCTCCTCTCTCCAAGGTTGCAGTTTGATGAGTAAAGGCAGCCCCCCACCCGCAGCGGCTGCACCCCCCGCCCCTTTGCTGGCCCAGGTGTTGGCACAGGCAGGCCCTGGAATGAATCATAAAACTAATCTTAGTTTAAAAATAAAGTTGTGGGTTTTGTTTTTGGGTTTTTTTTAAGCTTGAGTCAGCTTCCTGAGCTGATTCAGTGTATGGGCAGCAGAAGCGCTTGTGTGGGCAATAGAGGTTGGTGCAGAGGAGGAACTAGTGGCTGGAGCTGCTGCTTGTGGTAGACGTGCTGGTTGAAAGTGTTAATAAAGCTACGTGCCAATTAGAACATCTGTAACAACTCAAGAGTTATAATTTGGCCATTCTTATCTTGATGGAGCATTTATTTTAACGTTGAGGTATTTCAGATGTCTGTCGGTGGATGCATTTCTCTTTATGCCTTAGAAACTATGCATGTACAGGGTAGACTTCTTCAGCGAGAACTTCACCTTTTTAGAAATAGATTGCTTCTTGTTATAGCAGTACTTAGAAGAAAAAAAAGTATCCGTGGATCACCATTGCCTGATGGACTTCAGGAGTCGGTTGCAAAAAGAGCAGGCTTTTAGGATACTGGCAAAGATAGAACTAATTCTTTCATTTTCTCAGTGTATTCATTTATCAGAACTACATTTACATTCAGTCACATACTGGATGACCTTGTGTGTACAGGCATTCTTGAGTCTAACAGAAGTGATGAAAGGCATTTGCCCTTCCCCTAACGGGCCTTTAGAATCACAATGACAAAAGGCTCAAATGCGAGGGAAGACAAATTTGTGAACACGTTAGAGGATAGTTCTGTCTCTAACCGTGACAAACAGGGTGAGGAAAAATGGAATATTCCTAAGAAACTTTGTAACTGGACACTAGTTTGGTAGGTCTCAAAAGCATCTTGTCAAATCACTTTTACGTACAGAAGCAGCACCTCTCACATGCGGGACTCTGCTAGTCTGAGTTTCTTCAGTGAACATGGTAGCAGAGTCAGTGGCAGCAACTGTTTATAGTTCTGTCTTGACAGATGACTTTTCCCATCTTCTGGTGAGAAGTTTGAGCTTTCCTCCAGCCCTTTGCTAGTATTTTTGCCTCGCGTTCCTTGTCTCAAACATCCCCATGCTGCCTAACCAGCTCTCTGTGTCTTGGAGGTTCAGATGCCGTTAGGGCTTTACTTTCACTTCTCTCAGTTTCTATTCTCCTTGTCTACAGAGATCCCTGAGAATTTGCTTTTGTTTCCAGTAGACCAACTCCTTTCTGGCAAACTTGTGCTTCTGTTAGGAAAAGGGGGTTTGATACTGCTTGTACAGAGCTGCTAGAGCACTTTCTCCTGACTCAGCCTGGCTTGTAACTTCTGCTTATTCAATCAGTTATTATATATACAGATCTCCGCTCAAGTCGTAGCCCTCCCTGGTCTTGTTATTGTTGGCTGAAAGTAAAAATCAGGGGTTTAATTCCTTCTGTCTTTGCCTCTCTTTCTTGCATCTAAATTTGTTCATTTAAGCTAAGAAGTAACTGGTAGCATTTATTTATCGCTAGTGCTACCGAGAGCTTTGTAGCTCTCTCCTAGGTAGGTTGCACAGCCACAGTAAAGAAAAAAAGCCTTACAAGTTTGGAAAGCTTCCTTTCTTGTCATATTTTGTGCACCAAAATCTTCTAAAGCCTGTTTACAATGCCAAGCAAAATGTAGTCATGCAATTGTAATAAAAATGTTTGCTGCCTCTTACCACTGAGTGGTATACAGAAAAAGTAGTATATTAAAAATATTGAATGGCTATGGCTTTTTTTTATCCCTTTTTAATTAAGCCTCCTTTTACTATCCCAGTTTTATTTCCATCTTCTTTCCTGCAGGTGGATGTATTTAAAAAATAATCTTGCAATCTAATCTGTTGGGGGGAAAAAAACCCCAAACAAACAAAAACCGAACGAAACCCACAAGCCCCACGTATCTATGGATTAGGTGTCAGACATCCCGCTGTTATAAAGCTAAAAAGCCATTACGGAATGAAATGAGCCTGACTCGGTGCAGGGCTAACAGCCAAGCCCTGGCCAACCAGAAAGCGGG